ACCAAATATATAGAAGAGTATGCTACATTTATAATTATTAAATCCTGTGAAATTTGGTCCTGTTTGAAAATATCTTGAGATAATATGTTTACCATAAAAGTGATAGAGCTTAGGATTACTAGGATAGTACTTTTTATTATGAAACATATATGCCAACCCAAAATATTATTGAAAATTTTTATCAAACCATGAATCATTGCGTATAGTTTACTGATTTCTTGTAATTGGCGTATAGTAAAATAAGCTTCGGTTTGAGAAACGTCCCACAAAATGTGTTTTTTCTTGCCCACCTTATATAAGTGTTGATTTAAAAAATCAAATCTAACTTTTAACATTTTTGTTATTTGACAAATTAGAATTGTAGCAAATAACTGATAATACATCACTATTCTGAAATTCATATAAGAATACATAATCCTGATTTCTCCAATATGGCACCAGTCGAGTATTTCCCAAATATGTACACAAAAAATTACTACGAAACATACTGATGTTATTGTACCATAAATAAAAGGATTTCGTTTTTCCTCGAAGTTCAACTTCTTCAAATTTTTATCTAACGTCTTAAGATTGTTCCAAAAGGTTTTCCAGTGCTGAAAACGCTTCGTGGGCCACAACAAACAAACTGATAAAAAAAGTATTTCAGAAAGTATTTGTAGTACGTCATTTAAGATTTGCATGGGTGGAAATAAATATATATAGTAACTTATTCTCTTGGTTAAACAATTTAGTGTAAAAACAAAGTATGTGCAAAATATAACGAATGGATACCATTTAGAACAGACACGTTTTAATCTTGGCGCTGTCACTTCGGATATTAAGGGGAATCCAAAATATGTAGCAATTTTATATTGCCGCAAAATTATGTCCACGTCACTTAACTTCATTTTAACGTTTGAAAACATTGGAGCTTTTATGTATTATTTCATTATAATACAAACAGGAGCTTCATCGATGTTTATTTAATGTTAATTTCTGATCAACTACTTTACATATTAGCACTGTAAGTAAATGAAAAGCAAACCATTCCTTCTAAGAGAATTATTTTATTGATTTGTCTTAAGTAATTATGTTTTACTTTAGTTATCTTTGTATTTATTTACGAATAACTGAAAATTCTAGATATACAAGGTGTTCCTAAATAATTGTCGCAACGGAAAACTGTAAATTCCTCTTGAAAAAAGAAACATTCGTTTCCTCTTCAATTTTTCTCTCCGGGCTTTCGTTTTCGAGATACACGGTGTCAAAACTAATTTTTTTAAAATTTTTTGCCAGTTTCTTGGGAACCGTTTGAACTACAGAACTTAGTTTTTGTACACGCATTACCACTATTAATAGCTACTTTTTCCCACCCTTCTCTAATTCATTGAACGTGACAGTGGTGGAGATTTTAAGGTATCGTAAGGGTTTTCCCCCCTAACTTTTACGCCACTGGAAAAATTAACATTTGACAGCAAATTTTGAAACGCCAATGAATTTTACACAAAAAGTCAACTGTTTTCAAGAAAAATGACTTTATGAACAAAAACAAACATTTTGCTAACGTTTCGAAAAACTTTTGTAATTCAAAAAATAAGTTAGTAATAATTAACAATTTTAATGAAATTTAGCAACAATTGCAACAAGTAGCTATTAATAATGGTAACGTGTGTACAAAAGCTCAGTCCTGTAGTTCAAACGGTTCCTAAGATATTATGGCAAAAATCTGAAAAAAAGTTTTGACACCGTGTATCTCGAAAACGAAAGCCCGGAGAGAAAAATGGAAGAGGAAAATAATGTTTCTCTTTTCAAGAGTAATTTAAAGTTTTCCGTTGCGACACTTATTTAGGAACACCCTGTATATAAGTATCAGAATTAATTATTCTATATCTATTATTATGCCAATAGGTAACATTCTACAATAGGAATGCAGTATTTTTTAAAACTATTAAAGTAAAAAGAAAACGCGAAGATAATTTTTTGCAACATCTTTAATTTTTATGATACATAAAAGATACTTCCAATAAATAAACAACTTCGTAATACTGAATACCAGTTTAACAAAAATCAGCTATTTCTCAAATTGAATTAAGGGAAAATAATTTTTTACATACATAATATTCTACTATTCCTTTATATTTTTTTACCTTTTTATCTAGTAAAAACAGGCAAAGATGATAATTTTCTTGCGATTTCAAAGTGATAATAAAAACTATTGACTTGCTTTTCGAAGTTTTACACCAATTTTTTTCTTAACAGAACTCGCTGTATACTTGCCATTTTTAGATTTTTTTCTTTTTTATAATTACAATGATCATGTTGCATATTTGCTTTAACAGTGTGCACACCATTTTGGTTTATTTACTTGCTTGTAGTCAAAACTGCCTTGCCTTGCCTTGCGTGGGTATGTTTTCTGTTAAAAGACCCTGCACAAACCTTATGGGAAATGGATCCTGGATAAATTGGCTGATTTTTTTATATGTTAGGTATCTCAGCGTCCTGAACAAATGTCTCTATGGGCGCAAAGCCCAAAACTCCACAGGTTCCAAGATAAACCCACCTAGCCCCTAGAAACCTACCAAACCACGAGCAAGCTAACCCACGTTACCCTGATGGGAACAGCGAGTTTAATCGCTTATTTCTCTTGACATAATTAAATTCCACATCACAAGCGAGCTAACCCGCCTACTCCCTAACCTACATAGCCCTTAGAAACCACCCCTACCAAACCACAAGCAGTGGCTTGTGGAGCGGAATTTAATTATTTCAAGAAAAATAAGAAACTAAACTCGTTGTTCCCAGGGTTACGTGGGTTAGCCTGCTTGTGGTTTTGTAGGGGTGGCTTCTAGGAGTTAGGTGGGATAGGTAGTAGGCAGATTAGCATGCTTGTGGTGTGGAATTTAATAATTTCAAGAAATATAAGCGACTAAACTCACTGTTCCCAGGGTTACGTGGGTTAGCCTTCTTGTGGTTTGGTAGGTTTCTAGTGGTTGGGTGGGTTTATTTCGGAACCCGTGGAGTTTTGTTCAGGACGCCGAGTTACGTAACATAATAAATTCAGCCAATGTAACCGGGAGCCATTTCACATAAGGTTTGTGCGGGGTCCTTTACTATATAAATCTTTAATTCTCTATTAAGAAAAAATATCATAATACAAAATGCATGAATTTCATAGCGGAAAAGCATAAATATGCACCAGTTCGATGACAAACTTGACATTATCCATTGTGAAAGGTGTGATAATAAACCAAAATATTGCATAGACTGTCAAAGCAAATATGTGACACTGTAATCAGGAAAAGGAGAGGATTCCAAAAAGCGGCAAATATACAGGGTGATTCACAATTTATCCAAAAAAATTTGGGAATAGATGCGTCATGAAAAATGGAGTCAATATCGTAAAAAAAATTTTGTAAAACCCTTATAGTTTCCGAGAAAAAAATTATTGAAGTTGTAGAATTTTCAACCTTTACATCGCTGGGCTTACTGTAATCTCTAGCGTCATTCACGTTGTGCACTGTGCGCAATGCGTTCTCTTTCCACGTGGCCCCAGGTGATTTCGAATACTGAAATCCGATTTTGCGATAGTGTTTACATTAGTTTCTCAAATGTCAAGAACAGCTTACATGTATGGCAACTCGAGTGAATGGATATCATTTTAAAAGCAAGACAGCATTTGTATTAGTTCGTAAAAACTGGGTAAGACGGGCCCAAAAGTGTTTACACGTCAGGGGACAAAATTTGAACAGTTGTTGTAACTTCAGGTTGTCAAAGTATTAATTAAAACCACAAATTAATTTTATTAATTAATAATAACAATAACGGCAATTGCTGATATAAAATAGGTGTAGAAATGTATTTTTAAATCATTTTCGAACTGCCCTTTTTGATTTTTTTTTACAAAATTGTATTTGTAAGTCCCCTGTACAACAAAAAATTTTTTTTGGATAAATTCCGAATCACCCTGTATAGGGTGATTCATCGAAAAAAATAAGTTATTTTGTATGTATTTTTTGAAATTGCAAGATAATTTCCTAAAACTTTGTTCTTTATCTTTTTTCTATCTACTTCAGAGAAACACTTCGTATAATTGCACTTAAATCGACATGAGAAAAAAAATTAAAATATCGTCAAAGGAAACATTAAAGGTTTGTAAAATAATTATGCTATTTAAATTTTATGCAAAACTTTTGTGTTGTGCTGCATTTTTATTGTTTACATATGATTTTCTGTAAACATGAAGTTTTGCTAAATCGTAGCATCTGTGCTTTTTCAAGCCGACATGATCTTTATAAAATAATAGCTTATCTTCTGAGATCAATTAGCCTCTATGAATGGTTTTAATTGTTTCTGAAGAGTAGGAATACATTTTTTAGATAAAGGACTAAATATAACAGGGCTTGCATACAAAGAAATTCACAAATGTATACGCATATTTTCAATTTTGATGTTTCTCGGTTATAACTGAATGATATTGGTGAAATGACTAATTTAATTAGACTAATAAAAATACATACACCAAAATGTATAATGTAAAAACAAGCGTATCGTCTTTGGGTTAAATATCCGCTGCCTTGATTTATTCAATTGCTTTAAATTAGCGTCAATAAAGAAAGATTAAAGTTCCTAGATATTGATAAGAAAGATATAAGTAACTTGTAAATATTTGTGTATAAATAATGGCGAAATTATTTTAAAAATTGGTTAACAAAGATGGTTTGTGATTGATGAGTAGGCATCAATATGTACCTACATTTTTTTTCAAAGTTCCTTTATTGTATAGCAAAGTACTTGTAAAAATGAAACTTTGCTAATATGGTTCAACTCTTAGTAGAAGTAACTCGAATGCTAGAAATTACTAAATGTGATGCGTCTTATTTATTATTTTTGGAAACACTAATGAAATTTTAAGATTTTGTGTGGCCCCATACTGCAATATAACAATTTCCAGCAAAACTTGAGCATCAAGCTATCCATGTTTAATGACACAGTTATATAACAAACCTGTTAAATCATTATGGTAGATTTTAGAAAGTATTTATTTACAACATTTAACAAGTTCTTTGATAATACTCCTGTATCGATTTACCATGGGCCCATACACCTCGGCTGCATCACTGTATGGCTGGCATGCTAGTTCAGGGTCTGGCAGAGATGATAATAATGCGTTATAACTGCCACCTACAAGTCCATATTTCGCTTGGTATGCGGCCCCCAACATGGCAGAATCTGCGGCTTCCTGAAAAAATTTGTTGGCGACATCCATTTTACCTATTGCTGTCCAAAATTTTATGCTTTTTACAGGGTATCCGCAAATAAGCCTGCAATATTTTACTGATCGAATTTTTATACCTTTTTGCTGTAAAATTGACTAAAATACCAAGTTTTATATTTATCAATGTTTTACCTATTAAATTTTACGAAAATCCAATCCGTGGACCGTATATGTGGTACCATTTTATTTGATTACATTTATTGAATATAAAAGAAGTAGTAGAACTTTTATGAATGAAGCTTAAAAAGTCTATTAAAAAACATATGATTCGAATTTATTTTCATTCAAATCCAGTGTGGCAGTCAGATTTTAAATAAAAAATTTGCTAATCAGTTTTTGTCAAATTTAACAACAAATAAAAATAAAAAGTAGGATTTGACAACAGAATATTAATTCATAAAAAAAAAAATTGGAAATGATATCAGATTTATTTACACATTTAATAATCTTAGCATTGATATTAAAATAGGTTTTGCTATTTTTATTTTGATTAAAAAAAATAATCTAGAAAATTTTATCATCACTGCAGAGTGCAGCTCGTTGGTAGGTTTAGAAGAGAATACCTACTTGCTGCTAGTTACGATTAACTTTTGTTATTAATATATTTCATTCATAATAAAAGTTGCATATATGTAAGTAACATATTTTTTTTGTAATTCACAAATATTTGAATATACAGGCTGTTACAAATTTGCTTCTCACTATAGGGATCTCGAAAATGGTAAGAGATACGAAGTAGCTTAATTGGGGCAAAGTTGCATAATCCAGGGACCAACATTATGACTCTACAAAATCAAGGCTACATGAGTAGTTTTCGAAATATTTGAAAAAAAGCCGAAATTTTGGAAATCCGTTTTTGTTTCATTTCAGCCTTGTTTGAGGTGATATTGAAAAAAGAAGAATACTTTCTCATGGCAACTTTTTGCCCTCTATCGAATGGCATAATTAATTTCCATATGTAATGTTTCGTCTCTCCAGGACCATCATCAACTTTTTTAAATACAACTGGAAATGTTATTACTTTTTTGCAAGCTTTCATGACCCCCAATACCTAGCCCTAACCAGATTCAGATGTTTTCAGATCTTAAAAACTTCTTCGATGTATTTGTTCCAAATTTATTTAAATTTTTTGTTTAGATTTCTATGTTTATTAAATTATCGTACACTCTAAGTGTCGTTAGACTCTGTGAAATCCACCTAGTTATTTGAACTACATATTGCCATCACACGTTACAATAAAACATTATTAGAGTTTTAATCTCCATCACCTCGTCATACATAATTCGATAAATTGTTGCGTCAAAATTAAAACATTATTACAGTTTTAATTTCATTACGACAAATTAATTCTTAAAAATGCATATGAACAACCAAAACACCAAATGAATATTATACTTTGAAAAATTACAGTAATGTTCAAAAACGTTTTCGTTTTGGCAAATGTTGAAAATGAAGATAAGCGTAATATGATCGGAATTTATTAGGTATAGGTATCTGTTTAAATAACAAGGTGGATTTCACAGGGTCTAACGACACTTAGTGTGTACGATAATTCAATAAACATAGAAACCTAAAAAAAAATATTAGATTTTGGAACAAACACTTTGAAGATGAATTTTTCGAAACAAAACGTCTGGTTCGGGCTGAGGCATTACAGTATTGCAAAAAATGTAATAAAATTTCCAGGGTCGTATTTAATAAAATGAAGTCGATGATGGTACTGTAGAGCCGAAGCGTTACATATAAAAATTGATTATGCCATTCGATAGAGGGCAAAAAGTTGCCATGAGAAAGTGTTCTTCTTTTTTCAATATTACCTCAAACAAGGCTGAAATGAAACAAAAACGGATGTCCAAAACCTCAGTTTTTTCAAATATTTCAAAAACTAATTATATTAGCCTTGATTTTTAGAGGTATAATGTTGGTCCTCTTATTATGCAACTTTGCCCTCATTTAAGCTACTTTGTATCTTTTACCGTTTCCGAGATCCCTGTAGTGAGAAGCGAATGTGTAACAGCCTGTATATTAGAATCTCTACAATATACTATAACGTTTTGAACAGTGGCAGTTTTACCATAAGAGCTGCGGAGCTGCAGAACACATAAAATTTTATGTATTTAATCATAATAAATATCAACAAAATATTTAAAGAATCGGAATGTACTCGCGCTAAAATAAATCTAGGAGCTTATATTATTATTTATTACGACACGAGCTACGCTCCTTAATATAAGCAACCTCATATACAAAATGTGTGCACAGCGAACAATTATATGCGTCCTTTGTTTTTATTGCCTAATCAGGCACATAACCCAGTACACATTTATATAGGCTTTTGTGGCTGCAACAACGACAGCCACTGCTGCAGTAAATGCAGTAATATTTCGTACGTGGTATGTGATGGTTTATTTCTGCGAGCGACACATGTGAATATTTTCGTTTAGGCATCTACGGATATTATAGTTATTAAAATAAATAGCATTTCGTTTTAAAAAAAAACTTTATTTGGTTCTCTGCCTTATGAGGATAAACTAAAAATAAAAGAATTAGGTGGGCCAACACCACAATTAAATATTGAAGTTAAGTTAGTGGAACAAGCCGAAGTAAAAGTTATAAAAGACAATTTAACAATAATGTATACACAAAAGCAGAGTGGGTGTGCGGGTGTGATTTAAAAATTACACTGTTTTGTTTTCCGTGCTTACTTTTCGGTGGGGATAAAGTATGGACAATATACAGTGTGAAAGATTTAAGTAATTTAAGTCATTAGGTAAAATAAACATAAGAAGTCAGTTAGATTCTGCATATTGGGATAATATATGGAAACACAATGAACAGGTAACGAAAAATCGTTATGTATTATCTAAAATCATAGATTGCAAAAAATTTTGCGGAGCTTTCGAATTAGCACTTCGCGGACATGACGACACAGAAAATTCGGCTAACCCTGATGTGTTTCGTGGACTCATAAATTTTAGTGCAGATCTTGACGACATATTAAAAGAACATCTAGCCACATGGGTATGACCGGGATTTTCTGTGATTGTACCGGGAATTAGCTGTATGGTCCCGGATTTCGGATTTGCACGTATAACTCCCGGAATATAATATAATGTACATATATATAAAAAAAGATAAAGAAAAAATCATAACACGGCGAGGAAAATTAAAATTCGTTGAATCGTTGGTAAATTTCACAAACGATTTTTTTGTTTATAAACAATATTCAATAATTTAATAAAATATATTTAGTTTATTCCAATTTATTTATACCGTCAGTAGGTAATTCGTGAATAGATATTTCAAAAAGGTATCAATTTAAAAAATCGTTCTTGTGAAAAATCTGTATTTTTGTATAAATGGATTGTTCCTTGAAATTCAGAAGTGTCAGGAAAACGCGTGACCTTGAAAATTTTAAAATTTTTCGCTTGCGGCGCCTTTTAAAGACTCCGGGCCGGACACTTAATATCCTGGAATTCAAATCAACAAATGTAACAACCCTAAGCAGAACACATTCAATCAATGTTCACGCGCCGCCACTGGTTTTGAAGCATTGGATTCGATTAGTTACAGAGGCCACGTTTCAGAGGATCACTATTGTCTGATAATCAACAAGAACCAAAATAAACGTGAGGGCGGGCCTAGGACTTCTGATAGCTGAGAGCTTAGCCCGAGAACAACAAGGGCAGCGATTGGCAGCCCATAGGCCACAAAATTACAACTCAAAAATGTACTTTAAATAAAATGCAATCAAATCTTTTTTATGTGACTAATATTGGTACTACTGAATATAGTTATTTCAAAATCATTATAAGTCCTGAAGATTCGCCATCCATTGATGCTACAAAATTTCCGACAATATTTGTATAACATACCAATGTTTAACTTTTTAATCAAATAGTTGAAAGCCTATGAATAAAACAGTTTAAAACAAATTTAGCCATAACTCCCAGTTTGGGATTCCGATCTGGAAAAAAGATCTTTAAGGCTTTTTGGTCATAAATATGCTGGTAAAATATTGCAGGCCAGTTTCAGTATATCCTATATTAGCCTTACAACTTACTTGTACAAAAACAGGTGCATTGAACACATCCGATAGCACTTGCAAAATGGATTTATTTACAGACGCGCCTCCTGTTGCTAGAATTTTCGTATCTTTATCTAAAATTAGTTCTTCTTAGAGCAAAATCATCTTAAAGTATGTACGTCTTACCGAATTTGAACCCAAAATCTTCCGCATATGCCCTCTTTGCAATGAACTGCCCTTCGATGACTGCCCTCACCTCTACCTCCAAACTGGTAAATTTATTCACAGGTCCCGTCTTGTTAAATCGGTAGTCGCCTCGTAGGAACGGGAGGATCTCTTGAGTGTCAAAATACAGTCCTGAAAGATTACCTTTAATAAACGAAAATTTCAGTTCGTCCGATGTTACCTATGTGGCCGAAATTTCCTCTAGGCGTGCTGTCCAGAAGGTGATTGAAAGTGTCCCAGGAGCCTTCACAGCAGTTGTTTCGTATTCTTTCTCTCGTCATGGATCCGTTTTTAAAACTAACAGAAGATTAAGATTTCGTTCATTACGTTACAACCAATCAAATATAATTTTTTGATTAATTTTAGACCATCATTCATTATTATACTTAAGTTAAGTCTACTTAAGTTTTATCATATACTGGGTGTCTGGAAGTTACGTTTTTATTTGTACCTTTTTTTAAGTTTAACTTCTGAATTTTATTAAATATTAACTATTTACCTACTTATTTCCTTTTCTTTCACCAGTCAACAATGAAGGGTACGTAATTGATTACAATTGAGTACGAATAGTATCAAAAATGAACCAAGATAAATCAAAAAGTAAATTGACTACTTTTTTTGTAACTACTTGGCAACATCATTTTCATTTATTATTTACGTGAGTCGCAACTAAAAAAAATCTTAAGTCATCAGTGCATAAAAATTGTTTGTATACTATCTCTTTGGTGGGATCACTTATAAACTAAAAATCAAAGGGCCGAGATTAGATCCTTGATGTATAAAGATAAAGAAATATACACACCTCTAGATCTAAAACTATTATTTATATAACATATTGCATCTAATTAAATATGACTTGCAAAATAAATCCATTTTTTTTCTACATTCTTTTGGGTTAGTGATAAAGAAGAGTGACAGTTTAACTTTTTGTTAATATTATGTTAACTATTATTGTTAGACAAAAAAAAGAGAATATACTTGACTGTTTAGAAAAGCTGAGGCTGAAAAGTGAAGGGAATATGAAATATGAAACATCCCTCATAATAATGAATAAAGTTTCCACTATTAAAGTTTTTCCAATAATTTTCGAGACACCCTGTATAGCCCAATGCATGCAGTATCAGCAGTAGTGTGACTTAAAAAACTACCTACCATAGTAATGCCATATAAGCATCCTTATCTATAGGATTGCACAGAACATGTCCGTTTAACACCACTGTTGGTTCCGAAAGCCATAGAAAGACAGTATCGCTTGTCCCCAAACTTACGGCTATCCAATCTTTATCCAGTCTCATGCCTAAGAAGTATATTTTTAAATTAAAAAAAATACCATTATAGAAATAATGAAATCGTTGGTTAAGTACCTGAAATCTATTTGTAATATATTTCAAATCATTGAAATAAATTTTTTTAAGGAAAAACAAATAGAATTTACCCATTAGAGATGCTGGGTTATCGCCAGTACACGCGATGACCTTACAGTCAGGCTTAAAGTCGTATCTTTCTACAAAGTAGTTCGATATAGGCCCTAAGTTAGTATTTGAAGGCACAGGATGTCCCAGTTTTTCAGCTAGGTCTGGCCCACAGGCATCTAGAAGGGTTTGGTTCCATTCTTTTGTGTGGATGTCCATCAGATTCATTCCTGAGCCATCCGAAATGTCTATGGGGGCTATCTTGCCCAAAAATAATGAGCAGAGGAAGCTGCTAACAAGGGATATCCTCTGAAAAAAATCAACATTTTTAAAGTCTTTGTTATATTTTTAAGTCTTTGTTATTTTTTTACTTGGATCATTTTAATTCACAAACTTTGACTAGGTATTTTTTTCTATTTTTGTATGTTATAAGAGTTTACTTGCTTGGGAATATAAAAATTAGAAGGGCTTTCTATCTCTTATCACATACAAATTTAACCGACTGGTATCAATTAAGACTAATGTTAAACATATTGAAATATACGGTATTATTTACAGTACAGCAAGAAAGCAATTTATAATATTTATACAGTGAAATAAAACAGAACAATACAGAAAGTGAGACAAAACACTGAGAAAAATAATAAACAAAAAAATACATAAAATAGTATAAATCAAATCAAAAGTACATAATTAAAATAGGACTAAAATAATAATGTCATGAAAATCAGTCTAGTGTTACTTTGTTTACATATTTATTTACTTATTTCTGTTTACTGATGTTTTTATGTTTTATTTCTTTCTTTCGTGCTCTTAGAAATCTATGGAAATTGGACGCCCTGTGTGTTTTATTACATATTTGATTACTGCCCACGGCTTCCCAAGATAAGCAAAATTTTCTATCAAGAATAACTTTTTTTCAAAAAATTAACTATAAAAAAGTTTACAAGATGCGCAGGGAAGAGTTTTTGAAGTTAAATTGTTGGTTGTAAATTGTAATTTTGTTATTGTGAAATGTAAAATGGCGTTAAATAAAGGAAATTTGTTACAAAGCGAGAGTTTGGCGATTATTATTAGTTTGAGAAGATAGTGAATGGCAGTGAGTGTAAGATTTAAAATAGGAGAAATGGGAGAGTTAATGAAACCCCTTCTGGAAATGATGATGGTAATGCAAACTGAATAATATGACTAATAAAGATCCTGATATTATGTTATGGCAAGATAATAATGAATTTTTGTCAATTCTTATTTCTATATTCTTATGACTTTTTCTTGTGGAGTACAAACATCTGCAGCTGAAGTAGAGTGCCTCGCATATGATATTACAGAGTGTATAGAGCTGTGATAAGCTATTTTCAAAGCTTTTTATGACACTTGATTTAGACTACAAAGCACTTATGTAATCAGCGTAACTATTTACAATTTTACTGAATCAGTATTTGAAATACCTTTGGCATTTCTTAGGATAAAATCTTATAGTTTCTGACTTCTGTGAAAAGAAGAAACCAGTGCTGCACCATTAGTTCAACTAGGCAGACTTTTTATATCAAAACATAAAGTATAGGTTAGTGAGGTTTGTATTGTCGTAGGAATGGATAGGTACTTCAGATTTCGCCCATGTTTCGAATCTATCAACGAACTAAACTAACTAAATCACGAATTTTTCATGCCAAAGCACTAAAGGCAAGCTGCCACAGCAGGGCCAAGCAGCCCACCAATCAGAAGAAGATCTGACGAAAACATAAAAATTCGCGGATATTTCGAAACATGCCTGAAATTCCCCAACCGCGACGAACGGTCTTCCACAACATGCAAGACGTTCGACATATTGTACAAAGATACCCAGACGTCCACCGCACCCGTCAAATGGTCTCAGAGGGCGAAGAAAATCGCCGACCTTCTGAAAATTTTTCACCCATCTTTTGAATTTCCTAACGTCGAGCCGCTAAGACGACACCAAGCCGGCGGCGGCGTAGCCACCCCGGTGACAGCGAACGATAACCGATAACCGCGGATAACCGCAGCCAGACGAAGAACGGAGAAATAAAATTTTCGCCTTCCTTTTGATTTCAGTTCGCCAACCACGGCCGAGCGACCAAGGCAAATTCCCAACGTCACGGGCCAAATCGAGGTGTCCCTGGACCCAACCACGCCGCAGTCTATTATATATTTTGTGGCCTCAGTCGTTCAACCGAGAATCACCCTGCCGGCGATCGAACACGAACTGGCGGCAAATGCAGTTCCTCAGCCAGGACACAGTGCCTGGTGAGCTCCGAGCAACATTCGTATGCAAGAAACCGCATTTAATCATTCTGTCCTATCAATATTATTTTTAATAAACGATATATATGTTTTTATTCATTTCTGAGTTATTATTTCTCAATAAATAAAAAATAAAAAATCTCGGGCTCCAACATTCCCGGTCAGCTCACGCTGTATTAAGCTCATTTAAGCATACACGCCGCGCCGGCACTCCAAGGAGGCCGCGCTCAGTGTATTAAACAGTAGTGAAAAATAAGAGACAGTGATTTTCAGACACTAGCCGACTAGCGCTTAGTCTCTACCCAGTACATACAGGGTGATACAAAAACCCGAACCAGTCTCCTAAGTGGAAATCCTTATAAGCGTAGTGCTACGATGTCCTGTTTGGTTGGACAACAAACAAATTAGATCGCGGAATCTCCTCTTGAGTAGATTGAACTCAGAACGATGTCGGAGGGCTGAAGCCTTGTCTCCCCTCGATGAGGGCCGTTCATCAAGAGGGAGAGGACAGAGGTACCAGGAAGCCTTCTAGCCGCCGAGATAGCGCCTAGCGCGCTAGCACCGGAGGTGAAGACTGAAGGGGGACCTTGAGCTACACTGTCCTTCGCATCGCATCATACGGATATCGAACCCGTTGATGATGCTCAGGGGAGAAGCTGGCCGGTCTCACCAGCCGGGACTACTCCAAGACATTACCATCCCTGAAGCCAGCCAAACACGACCGCGACATGGCGCCCAACGCGGGGCTATGTCGTCATACGAAATTGAAACCACGGCTAGCGTATCGCGACAGTATCATCAGAAAATTGCATAGTTAAAACTGAATCATCACCAGAACAAAATAAATCGTTGATATAAATTCATAAGAGAACCGGACCAAGAACTGATTCCTGTGGTAGGTACTCCTTATCCCCAGAGGTATAAGATCTAAATCATTTGTTCTAAATATTCTTCAAATACGTCTGGATTCATATTTTCGCGATATACATTTTTAGATACCACAAATGACAGTAAACTTCTCTCCATAAAGCTATTAATATTATGGATCTGGATTCAGCAGTTTTCTTCACAATGTTTTATTAAATTTTTGTATATATTACGTATTAACTTGAATTTTTTTAGACCTTCTTTGTATTAATAATTTCGCCTGTTCTCTTTAGATTCTACCTATTATGTAGGTACTTACTATATAAATGAATAAGTATTAAGAATGCTAACATCCAAATAAAAATAATTGATTACTCTATATTATTTCAAAACAGATAAATTATTATAAACACAACTTACTTCAGTTCTATTGTAGGTATCCGGTTTATTATGGTATATTTTGGCAATCTGCGAGCCAGTGAATCTCTCATAAGCTCTTGACCCTGTAATTTCTGCTAGTTTCTAAAATAATAATAATAATTATTATTATTATTATTATTATAGCATGATCTTCCATTACCGTAGGTCCTCCTACAGCCTTCTCTAGTTCTCTGCATTGTTCAGTAGTTGTGGAATCCATCCATACAGGACTATTAGATAAAGCGAAGCTGGTGGCCAGTTGAACGTGCAGGAATTCTTTCGAATCTAGGTTACCCAAGGTGTTGTTTATCCCTCTAACCCAGTACACCGAACCATGTTGCTAGTATAAAATATGAAAGTGTTATCAATAATCCATAAGTTCCAGAAATACTAGTTACTGCAACTTTTGAAAAACAATTAATTAGCATAAGATCAAGTTTTGACTTTTTTCCACTTCTAACTACTGCTATGGTTCATTAACAATTTATTGGAAAATCACCTTTTTGGAGATACAAGGACATAACTTTATTAAGTATAGTCCTTAATAACCCATTTTTGGAAAGACCAGAACAGAGGCAAATAAAGATATACAAGGTGTTTCAGTTCGAGTGAATCAAACTTTAACCACAAATATAAGTCGATAAATAATTCAGAATTGCCTTATAAAGCAAGGGTCTAAGTCTCACCGTTTTCACTGTACAGGGCCGTATTGGCCGGTTGTTAAAATCATATTATTTATAAAATCTTTGGTTTAGTTACAACGAATTGATTCAAATTTGGTGTGGTGTCAACATTTACACATGTGCATAATTTACTGAAAAATTTACAAATTTTTGTAGGTCAGTGGCGTAGTAATAGGTAGTAAAGTGGTATTTTTTCCCCCAACTTCTACCCCAATGACCTAATATTCATTTGGGTTTCATTTTTAGATTCCGTGGACAATTCTACATAAAAAAGTTATACTTGTTGAAAGTTGAACGGGAGACCGTTCTTCTGATAAGAAATTTAGTTTAGGATAGGAAATAAATTTTAAATTAATATTATTATAATGTCACGCATTAACTTAGAATTCAAAACAATATTAAATAATATGTCTTTACATCGGCGAAACGACTGGTATAAATTCTACAGCATATTCAATGGCACCTCCTCTAAAATTTCATTAGTGCCATTCTGAAGCAATTGTAGGTATCCTTGCTCATTCAACAGTCCGTTTGTTTCAAACAGATATAATTTCTTAAAAAATTACACTCACATATTAATTTTAAATTTGCGCTGTGCGTCCATAACATTATCCGTACTAACGATTGCCATGAAAAAAGAACTAAGCAATAATAGACTTATCTGTCATCAGGAACTGTCATTTTATTTTTAAGATTTGAAATATTAGTGAATGTTTGTAAAAAAATGGATGAATATTGAAGTCTTATCAGAAGAACGGTCTCCCATTCAACTGAGATTTTCGGTAAAACTATACACTATACCGATTTTCAACAAGTATACCTTTTTTATATAGAATTGTCCTCGGAATCTAAAAATGATTCCCAAATGATTATTAGGTCATTGGCGTAGAAGTTGGGGTAAACAAATCCCGCTTTACTAACCATTCCTACGCCACTGAACTATGAACATTTCTAAATTTTACAATAAATTATGCACATGTCCAAATGTTAACATTAAATTTTAATCAATTTGTTATAATCATATTAAAGATTTCGTAAATAATAAGATTTTAACAAGCAACCAATACGGCCCTGTACAGTGAAAACGGTGTGACTTAGACCCTTGCTTTATAAGGCAATTCTGAATTATTTATCGAGTTCTATTTGTGATTAATAAGTACTTGTACAAACTTTAAAGGGTGAATCTTTGACTAATTTTAAGAAAAAAAGTTCATATGAACATGGGTCCTCAACGGCTTGGTTCTTAATATAGACTGTCCATAAAATTTTTGGTTCAGCAATCATTGTAAATGTTATTAACTTATTTGCAGAAGTAGTTTAGTCTTAGTCTTGTAAATGATCTAAACTTGTCGCATCGCAAAACAATCAATAAAAGACATTTTTTCACCTGTTTTTCAAAATTCTTAATGATTCATCTTACAAACGAAGGTTTAACTTTAAACTCGTTTTTTTACATAACGGCTGTAGCGACAAATACTAAGAGTACCTTTTGTACGTAAAACTGAATGTAGAATAGGCATGTTTAGTTAAAAATGACATACAGTGTGACACAAAAAACGTATGGTTATTTAAATCCGGATACGCCCTCAAACATTAAACACAAAACTAGGTAAATATTTGAGTTTCTCATCACCAATATTCCCAGTTTCCGGAATTTCGTCAAATTTCCATATTACTGAACAAAAATATAATCAAAATAACAAACAAAAATTTTATTTTGGACGCCCTGTATCTCAAGAACCAAGCCGGTGCGGACCCATATTCATATGAATTTTTATATTAAAATTAGTCAAAAATTCACCCTTTAAAGTCTGTACAAGTACTTAATATATAGGCAATACTTACACGTAAGTGTAACAAAATGTTCAGTGTTGCCTAGTAAGGAAATTTTAATATTTCAAGGAATCTGCTCTTACTCATCAATTATAAGATTCCTAAAATCGCATTCCGTATTTGTTTCTCAAACCACAAGGTATAATTACCCTTCTGTCAGATATTTCGGTTATAGCTTTGTGTGTCTTAACAAATGATTTAAAGTTAAGTAATTTCTAGGTAAAGGTGTATTTAAAAAATATTTAAAATAGTTTGGTTTCACTGTCGAATGGATAGTTTTTTGTTGAACAATTGAAAATAGATACCTAATTACTTAATCAAATTTCAAAATGTTCATATAAAAATTTGTGAGCTAACGCTTCATTTTCAAGTTACAGGGCTGTAATATTTTTTTAATTTTCTACAAACTATAATTTTCTAATTATTTCCTATCCACACTCCCTATCCATAGAAAAAGGATATTTATATATAATCCTTTTTCCTTTTTCTATGCTTCCTATCTATAACCAAATATTTCACGAGCACGTATGTGTATAGGTTTGTTCCAACAACAGTCGGGGAACTGGTTTGAAACCGTCACAAATGTTTGCTCAACTCCGTCATACAAAGCATTTACCAAACATGCGTTAACAACTGCATGTTTCTTACCGTTCGGAATGGATTCCTTGCTGCTGTTGTTACAAACCCTATGTAAACCGTTTTATCCTATAGTACGATCGTATACGATGCAAAGTAATAAATCATTACCTGTCAAGGGAATCAGTGCAACACATTTTATAGGGGGTTTTGAAAATTAAATAATTTCTTTATGCATTATGGATTAACAGTTATATATTTATGAAGGATAAAATGAAAAACAAAGGCATCTCCTTCGCACATTGGGCGGCAGGACAACAATACATTTATTACTCCCTTCATTATCCCTCATATGACTTGCGTCTTGTGTTTTTTGCGGCGGCGCGCGTGCCGGCCTGGCGTGGTCAGTTTCGTTTCGGTTGTATTGGTGCTGCGTGTTTCCGCAGAGCTGGGTAATTACTTGTAATTTAAAAATAGTTACAATTACAAATTACTTTAAAAAAAAAGGAACTAATTACAATTACAAAGTATATTCTTTAAAAAAGAAATTATATTAATTTAATTACAGTTACATGGAAAATGGATTTAGCAATTACTTTTCTAATTACTTTTCTAATTACTTTTATGATAAAGTAAATTATAGTGACCAAACAGAGAAAAAGGAAAAAATAAGTTAAAAATTTAAATTAAAAGTGTTGTGTAATATTGCGTTTTATTATTTATTAGAATTGATACTAAAATGAAAAGATTATTCTTATTCATTTTCTAATATAGAATTTTTATATTTTTATTCCTAATCTAATAATTTAAACTAGTTCAGTTCATACTATAATTTTATATTATTGGTCAGGTAATTAATTCAACCCGATGCCCTTTTTTTGATTGTTAGTACATTTGCAAAATATAGAATACAGTAGTTTTGGATAGACTGGAAAGCAATAATTATTATTAAAAAAAATACGAATCGAACAAGTAACCGAACCATCAGTTTTCTCAACTCGAAATAAGAGCAGTAACACATATATACATAATATATATTTTTATAAAACTTGATGCTATAGACAACATACTTTTACTTCGTATACTTTCTAAATTAATAATAATTATAATAAAATAAAATGTACTCTGTTAATTCTGAGGTTAATTCACCAAATCACTTTTTATTGTTCACGCGGCACAAGGCTTTCCTCAAATGAAATAATAGAAGTCTGCAAGTCTATACGCAATTACGCAATACGCATGATCTTAAATGTAATTATAATTATTAGAAGAAGTAATTGTAATTGGAAAAAATATTTGTACTTATAGAAGTAATTTGTAATTCGATAGTTCAAATAATATAATTACAAATTACAATTCCTATAACAATTTTGCTGCAATTACAATTCCAAATTACTTTAACAAAAAAAAGTACTTAAATACAATTACAATTACAGGATAAAAAAGGGAATTGTAATTGCTAATTACTTTTTCACCAGGAATTACCCAGCTCTGGTTTCTCGCTCGCGATATTTGTGAAGTTATAACTGTTATAAGTGCAATTATATTTCTTTCGGGCTATATGTGTGTTTCGCGCTATTATTTGAGAATTTGTGAGTGAAATCATATTTCTTGTGCTCCGTAACAAAAGTGTTTTTAGTGTTTTATTTGTGTGCTGTGTGTGTGTTTCGGGCTGTTGTTTGTGAATCGTGAATGCTATTATATTTTCTGTGCTAGTGAAGTGAAGTTTTTTGTATTATTATTGCTCTGTTGTCGTTATATGGATAAATGGAGGCGTTGCCTGGATGTTCGCAAGCCGGATGTACTGGTGTGGGTACAAAAAAATCTATATTAAGTTACAGAGAAAAAACGATAATATTAAATGTCTATAACCCTTTAGAAAAGGATCATCCCATGAAACTGAAGACTGGTTTGGTGGAAATGTGTTCTAGATATACTGGAGTAAACGAATTATCTGTTTTCAAAATTTTAAGAGAGAAGAAAATTGAAGGAGACGTTAAGAAACCTAAAAAAGGGGGTGCAAAGAAGAAATTAATATTAAATGAAGATGAGAAAAATGCAGTTTGGCGTACAGTACATAAATAATATAATTTATATTTTGTTTATAAATTGTTAACGTTTCTTGTTTGATAGAAAAATAACTTATTTTGTTGAGATTGGTAGAGAATTGTTGTTAGAGTTTTCATTTGATAGAATCATATCATAGGATTTATATTTTGTTTTCATTCTGTAAATATTGAAAGTATATCTGTTATACAAGGTTTTTGCTTTGAAACTTCGTTCTCCTTATAAAAAAAAGAATCGTAATGGGGTGCGATGAAGAGATCAGTTCACGTCTGGAACCCTGTTCCTACAAAAATCCCTTTATTCTCATAAACTATTTGTTTTAAATGTAATTTAATCCAATTCGTTATTTAAATTCCACATATGTACTACATTTCACCTCTATACGCGCCACTGTTTATTGTTCCCTGCTCTACGATCAAGCTCGCCAGGTTAGTATTTGACGTATAACCGACCACTTCGTACACTCGATGCACCTGGCCGACTACAGCTAGTACCAGAACACAGTGCGTATGCGGCGGTATTTCAGATTTTACATTCAATTTCATTTTAAATTTGAAACAGTTCATCTTACGCCTCCTAAAAATGATGACACGATTTTCCTTTGATAAAAGACCGACAATTTTTTGCTCTACTTTGCATCGTATACGATCGTACTATATACATATAAATATATGCCACCAAAGATACATCGGTCGCTGTGCTCTCCTACAGACCCTAAATACCTTGTACATAAGGACCACACAGTGCGATTCGCTGTGGCTTCACTACGGCGGCCTGCGCCCTTCGTAAACGTTTTCGTAGTGATCGTAGTGTAGATTAGCTAAACTAGGTCAATGTCAGAATTCATTGACACTAAGAACAGTAACAAAATTGTTTTTAAAACTAATATGGTGACTAAAATAGCACGTAGCTAAGTCATACAAAAGTAATTTGTCTTTAGGAAATTATTTTCCATCGTAGTTCGGCTTTCTAACAGTTAAATAAAGAAGGTAACAACTGGCAACGCTGATAAATTATGATACAACTTACTAAGCTAATTCCGGTTCGCCCAGTGGCGTCATAAAGTCATAAACAATATTTTAAAGGCAGTTATTACTATCTTTATTACTATCCATAAATTGCATGCGGGAGCAGACCTGTCACATTGACAGCTAAACTCACCTGAGCGCTCCCAGAAACGCTGGCTATCTTCGAGAAATCCACACCTTCCATGGTGAGCCGATCCAGCAGCATGTCCAGGCCCTTCACCCACATAATGGACGGCGCGGTTATATAGTGCGGGTTGGTCTTGTCAATGATGACGCCGCCATGGGTGCGGAACTCCGGCAGGTCAGTGTGGAAGTTCACGCTGGCCTTGTTGAGGATCTCGAGTTTGTCGCTCACCACGACGCCTTTCAGCTGCGAAAAGTCAAACAGACTGGCGTCAAGATACACTATACAGGCTTAAAATTTTATATTTAACAAATTCCTGTTTAAAAATCTGGAAGGTATTTTTTTTCGTTTGGATCCCATTAAGTTCCAAAAAATTAGAATATCGTGTTGTGACGTCGTTAAGTCAAAAATTTCAAATGCAGCGTCAAATATAGTAGTTTTTAGAATAATTTGGTCTGTGCAGTTAAAAGTTAAAATACACAGTTGAGCATCAATGTTTTTTATTGCATTTTATGAGCAATTCCTCGTGTGTTGCCAAATTCATCCACTAACCTGAGAGACATCAACAAAGTTAATAGCTAGAATTTGTTATAATAAAATAATATCCATTTGCAAATTAAATGCATAAAATTATGATAAGAAATTCCAGAAATTAGTAATTACTGATATACATAAATAAAATAGTTATTTTGGTAAATATCGTCAGACCCATAAACATGGGCGTAGGTAAGGTTTCAGCTTGGGCTAGTCCGACCAAAAATATCATAATATTATTGAATATTGTATTACTTTTTTCGGGGAGAAGGAACTGTGACCACCTCTGTGCAGCAATGAGGAATTTGGTGTGATTCAGGTGATTTTAATTTATTATAGGTATCTTCTATTAATCATTCATATTACAATTGCAAAAGGGAGATAAAGAGGGATATTTTGTTTACTAATATTATTACATGGCATTTTTTTTAAATCTAAACAGTTCCTTGTTATTTCATGCCTGGTTTTATGTATCTTTTCTCTAGCGTATTTTCTGCCTTTCATTATTCTGTTGGTATTAGAATGTTGACAGTTCAAATCAATATAAATTTTTGACGTTTATCGAATACTTTTGTGGAAATGTCAAAAGGAACTCTGCTTATTTAACTTTTATAGAAAAGACAAAACTGCGTGAATATATTAGGATTATTATAAATCCTTAATTAAATTCGTGTTGTTATTTAGTATGTAATACAACAATCCCTATCTGTTTACCAATCGCAAAGTAATTCGCAAATTCCGCACATATAAATTAAAAACAAATAAAAAAATATGAAGAATGAAAAACTACACTCACCGATTGAGTACTGAGGCTTATGCCTAGGTATTCCATATCACACATATGAATATTATAAATTATTTTTACTTATACATTTTACGAACTAGTATATTGAAAAAAACCGACTGATCTGTAGTAGTGACAGTAAAAGTAGTATAGTTTTTGTCAAATTTACACGGGGTGTAAGTATCACAATTAAATCCCTAGGAAGGGCGCGTTCCTCTAAAAAAAATACAAAAAAGATTTTGAACAGTCCCGAAATGTAAAAATACAAGAATAAGATCTATTTACACGTATATTTAAATTTAGGTTTTAATTTTTATCTTCCTTTTTCTTCTAGTTCTTCCAGTTATTTAAAATAAACATTATGAAACATGTTGCTTAATTGAATATTTTTGTATGGTTCATTTATCATCATTAATATGGTTTTTTGTCTGCAAAATTTATCATTTTTGTTTACTAATAACATTACATAACATGCTTTTAAAATCACGTTTTGAGTATATGATTTTTTAACCATTATTAGTATAATTAGGATATTTAACAGACAATACTTTAAATGTACGTGTATTATGATCAATCGTATTGTTACTATAAAACTGATAAACTTTGTTTACCAGATTAAGAGACAGTAAAAGGGAGGTATATGCATTTATGGTTAATTTTCAAAATGGTCTCAAGAAAGTTTACCGTTGGTTTCTTTCTATTTAACCACATCTAGTTTCAGTTTTAAGAAAATTCAATTAATATACAGGGTGTGGCGTGTATAATCTATAAAAATTAATCTATAGCTTCCTGATGATATTTGTAATAGAAAACTCTTATACGAAAAAATTCTATCTTCGCGTTTTTTTTTTTGTAAATTAAAGTTCATTTATTTAACGAAAATAAAGGTCAACCCTGTGTTATTTATAAAAAACTCTGAAAATGTTTTTATGCGACCCGAGATGCAACCTTATAATTTAAGTCCGTATAATCTAATACTAGTAATACTAACAGAAGATTAGGTTACATTGTCAAAAAATTTGTATTTGTATTGAATTCATTATTCACTTAATTATTAAATATTAAGCATCGTCCATCGACTCATCAGTGTTAAAAAGTGAAAGATTCCAGACAAAAGTTTTTATTTTGTAATTCCACGATAGTGACAGCCGGAGAAAATGCGCTCGCGGCGACTAGGTTGTACTGGGAACGATGGCCACAACGAACATCACCCTCCATATGCAAATGCAATCCTCCTTCAGCGGTTGCGAGATACGGGAAGTATTATTCCTCGAGGAAAAGAACGTGGACGACTCACACAGCAAGTAGGAACCTCATCTCGTACCGTACATCGCATCTTAAGGCGCCAGCTGTTGCACCCCTATCATATCAATGAATGCGTTTTTGCAGATGGTTTTTACGGCAAGTAGACTTTCCTGCTTACGTTTGTGCAACAGATGAGGCGACATTTACCCGTGATGAAGTGAATTTTCATAATATGCACATATGGGCCGATGAAAATCCTCACGCGATTAGGGAAACTCATTATCAACATCGGTTCTCAGTAAATGTTTGGGCTGGCATAATAGGCGATGTACTTGTGGGTCCCTATTTTTTTGAAGGACGAATAAATGGACCAACATATGCTGACTTGGGCTGACTTCGCTAAAATTTGGTGCGTCGGTGCCATGCTTATATCCGCGCTAATGGGGATCAATTTCAACATTTTCTCCAGAAATGGTAAGTTTTATTTCATTTTGTTCCATATTTTAAGTTTGTTTAGTGCACGCAGTTGGCAACTACACATACCTACGGATGTCGTTTTGTTTGCCAACTCTTGCAGTAACAACAATGCATTTAAGGTAGTAATTACTATTAATTATTATAATAAGAAAATATTAGTTTTTTTTTAAATATCTGATTGTCTTAGTTTGTTCTTTTGCATTGAAAAATTCCCCAAAAATTGAGAAGTATTTTTCTATCTGTCAACGACCATTTGTTTACGCGGCTGGTCTACAGCACATAAATCATAGTACAGCACACGGACAGGACCGTTCCAGAGAAAATATTTTCATCCATAATTGAACTTTAATTTACGAAAAAAAAAACGCAAAAATAGAACTTTTTCGTATAAGACTTTTCTATTACAAATATCGTTAGGAAGCTGCAGTTTAATTTTTATAGATTATACACGCCACACCCTGTATAACAGTAAAATTTTTTGAAGTTGAATGAAATCATTCTCAAAATTTTTTGCAAATACGGAACATTGTTCTTTCATGGAATGGATTCTTAAAAATGTATAATAAGCGTGAAGAAACTAAATTTTCAAGTCTTTTCATTCAATTATTCCCTAATATTTACATTATTTCAATATTCATCAAATTATTGGAAATTCTAGTAAACCACTTTCAATGATAAACGTCTTTGGAATGATTTTTTTTGTTTCTTTAATGAATTTTGAACAGTTGCTTAATGAATAAAAAAAATCAGATCACCTATATCTTCTTCCAAATGGGTTGACTAAATCAATTCAAAGGTACAGGGTATTATATACTATGAAAACTGAGAATGACCTAAGTACGACTCTATTAAGATCTGTGCCTCCCTTAGATAAATTAGGCAACCAGCAGCGCGTATCTCCGAAAATATTTGTAATTACGAAAAATGCTTTTCACTGGACTCATTTACATTGCGAATTATTGTTGCAGTTAAAATATAGGTACACATTTAAGATTCACTCTGTATAAGAGAATAATTCGAATGGTAAGTCCGAAAAAAATTAAATTTAAGAGTGGTGTAATTATTAAATAAATTTATTAGCGTTTGGATTTTCTTTGACGGTATACTTCTTCGTCTTCACCAGCATAGCAGAAGTTGCTCACTATCTAGAAATTAATCCAACAGCGACCAACAGCGTTGTCTATGTCCTGGGTAGATGAGCTGAGAATGCAATATGATAGTGATCTCATATCTAGAGATCTCATCGCAATACTCATCGTGCGACAATCGCCTCTGTTGGAGTACACACACGTGTTTACATTAAAATGTTGGAGTTAGTTTTTTTCCAATCTAGTAAGTCAAGCTTCTGACGATGCTGCATTTAGCACTATCCAAATAGGAAGGAATGTTGTAAGAAACACCTGTGTTTACTAGTTTTTATATACAGAGCTTTCATAAATGATTACAAGCCACGTGACCAGTGATTTTATTTGGATCAGTAGTTCTATTTCCTTGGTAACTAAATTTCTATAAATTATTACCTGTATCTTGAAAATGTAATATTCTCGAACTCAAAACATTCTTTTTTTGATAAGCTCTTCAACAGTAAAGCCACATTTACACTAAATAGCGAGCGTTGGAAACATTCTACTGTCCACAGCTGTACACATATACGTACGGTATTGCAAAGCTTGACGTTCCGTATCGTGACTGTTTGGAGGAACCTTTACTCTATATTCTAGAAAATGTCCTCTTCTACTCCTCTGTCCAGGAAAATGCCCACTTTGTCCAATGGATAACGCGTCATAAGTATTTGAATTGAATTGCGATAACTTTTGAGCCTCCCCGGTAGACTGATCACCTTACTTATTCATTACTCATCAACAGGTGGCATTCCAAGTCTCACTTCGCTACACTTCCATAGGTTCCCCCTCGTAGGAATCGCCTTCTTCGGCCGCAACGACGGCACACGCTTGCGCCGCGGCTCCGTTTACGAATCGAATAAACATTCACACGTCCCACACGGTGTTTTAGCGACACGAATCGTGAATTACACAACGATAACGGCGTGCGATAAAGGACTCACCTGCTGGGTGCTGAGGTCTAAGCTGAGGAAGGTCCGCTCCTCCATGTTGACGACGGTCACGATACCAACGGACTACCGCGAACGGTACACTTTCTGGGCCGGTGACTAGGAACGGTTGCGAAAGCGACTAAGGAAACTCTACTTCTGCGGTTCTACACAGACGCGGCTCCGTGGAGATAGTCGAGGTCAAGGCACCGCGTTCTCGTGCGGTTTATCAGCATGTTATTGTTTTTATTGTTATAGCGGGATCGCCGTAATCGTCCTAATGATTTCAGATAAAAAACGTTTTACGCAGATAAGCCGTAGTTCGGGCCGTAATAATTTTAAGGCGCTCGTACAGGGCGGTCGTTATGTCGGAGCCACCACGTATATTTCGGAGTCCGTTTGTTCACCTGACGTACCTACTTGTTTGTTTCGGAAACAATTCCGCTGCACAGTAGTTACGTTGTAAATAATATTGTATTAAGTTTTTTAAAAATCTGCCCTCGTTTATATCGCCTGGATAGGTCGCCCAACTAAATTAGTTCAAATTTGGTAAAGGGTATTACCTCATAGTCTGCACGATTTGAATATGACCATGATAGAGGAGATTCGGGAATATCGTCCTTTTTTCGAGCAGTAATTATGTGAAATTAAAATTTCCCACTAAACACGAAACGTAAATGAAACGTTGCAAATGAGCTGTTTTACTACACATATGAAACAATAACTAGAAACGTTGCTGTTTCATTACAGAAATGTAGCACTTGAAAACTTACTTAGTGAAACATAGCCGAAACATTCCAATTGAAGAGAGTTTGAAACATTACTCGAAACATTCCCTTTCGATCTCGGAAACGTAACAACGATAAACAAACAACCCTTTGCTTTTGTTTATCTTATGGAACTTCCATTCGGCATTACTTAAATTTTGCACTCAAGCCCCATCATTATAGCAAGCGTTAGTTCATTTGCCTTTGTTATATGTACAACCAGACATAAACAGAAAAAAAATTGTGGTAGCATATTTATAACACAAGTCTAGAAAAAATGTATGTTCGTGACTTGCGCAGACCGCGCGTAACAGCCCGAATTTATTTATTTCTCGTGTGCCGTTTTCAATTCGTATTATGTTAGGTGTTAGGTTAGGTTTGCGGTTTGCCTTTACCCGTTTGCCTGGCTTCGTTGTTCTTCATCGTTACCAGGGAGAATAGTCTCCATGATCGTTACTTTGATGCTATTTTATGTGATAATTTATAGTGTGTGCAGTTGTGGTTATTGTAAGGTGCATATAAAATAATGAATATTGATGCAAAATGTTTAAAACGATATGTGTAGAGACTTCGAATTTTGCGTCACATCTACCTAAACATAGTTATTATACCCACTACCTAATACCTATTAAAGACAAGAGGACAAAAACTAAAAAAAATGGAACATGGAACTATACGTTTCGGAGAACTATTTGAAATACGGAAGAATCAAGTGAAATATATGTCATTTATTTTATATTTTGTACAAATGTTTATATTTGTGTACGTGTATAGGAATGCTTAAATAAAAGAGTTTAAGTATACCTACAAATATTTATTTTTTCAAGATATCCTTTTGTATCTTATTTATTTCTACTGTAAAATTTATTATAAAAAGGTTAGATGTAATATTGACTATGCGTAGAAGAAATTGTAACTTCTTTATATTATTTTTCAGTAATGTTATTTGTTTTTCATGTACCTACCATTTCAAGATTCATTATCATAACTAATTTTTTTAATTATCATTTCGTCATTGTTACCATATTCATGATGGTCTCAACATTAGAAAATTTCCATTTCAGAAGCGTATTTGAACAATATAAAATGATGTGTAGCTTTTTTAAAATGCTTCTGATATTGTTTTGTGACATTTTTATTTGTACGATGAATGGCAGAATCCGTAATCCATATTAGAAACTTTTTCAGTGGCTTCTCAAAAAGAAAAAAATTCTTGATAAAAGTTGCTGCATCCCCAAACTAGAAGAGCAGTTATTTTTTTTAATATACAATAACATTTTTCAGTTAAATTTTTTGAGAAATCAGAAAAAATTGTCTGGATTACGAATTAAGTCATTCACAATACAAATAAAAATATTACAAAAGAGTATTAGAAATATTTAAAAAATTACTCACACTGTTTATACTGTTTCAAAAACGCTTCTGAAATGGAAATTATCTAAAGTTGAGAGCATTATGAGAACAATATGGTATAAAAATTATTATGTTACTCAAACATTTCTGAAAATATACTGAAACGTAAAACAAAAATATCGAGTGCATAAATGGAACATCAAAAGAATGTTACTGAAACCAATTTTTTGAAACGTTTCATTGGAAACGTATTTTGGGGAGGACATCTTCGGTTTCTTTTGGGTTACCAGAACGTTGCATGGATTTTTTATGAAACGTTTCAAGAAAAATGGAAACGTTTTTGGAACATGTCAGAAACTGAAAAATGTTTAGTGGGTTGCACCTGAAAGCATTATGCAGGTCTGGTCATATTTTTATTTCCGATACAAAGTTAGTAAATTATATAAATATTTCACCAGTCTCCCCTAATAATTCTGTCTCCGCCTCCATATCATTTGTATAACTTTATGCCATCGATATAAGGGAATAAAAAAACGCCATAAGAAGTGTGCAATGCCTGCGGTTTTAAGTTCTCCTTGACTATTGGTTTATTGTCTCTGTCTTGCATTAGGAATTTGGGAACAACGTACGTCTATAAGTAAGTAACGTACAGATACGTACATACGTACAGTAAGATACGTACATAAGTAAGATAGAATACTGGACAATAATTACGTTTTTGATTTATTGCGATGGCATAAAGAGTATAAGCCACAGCCTGGAATTGACAGCAGTGTTGCCATACGTACAGTAATTACCCTATTTGTACGATATTTTTTTACAAGATTGATAAGAGGTTTTGAGACCATACTAGAGCATTCCAACTTTATTTATAACCTTTAAAATTATTATTTCAAATGCTTATTAAAAAAGCTTATTATTAATTAATAAGGTGTTCAAACAAACCACCTGCTTGAGCTTCACAATACCCTAATTTATCGTAAAATTTTTGACGAACATTTCAGGAGTAACTGATGCTAAAATATTTCTAATTTTAAGCCGTAATTCGTCCAAATTTGCGGCTCTTTCGTGTCGATGTTTGTAGAGAAGTTGCGTTAAATGACCCCATAAAAAGAAATCGCAGGTAGTCAGATCTGGAGATCGAGGAGACCAAGGTATGATACCTCTTGTGGAAATAAGCCTTTCAGGAAAAGTTTGTTCCAAATAATCTTGAACTGGCCTTGCATTGTGTGCAGGACATCCGTCTTGCTGAAACCAAATTTCCTCAAAATTTACATTCAAATTTTGTACAGCTGGTACAACACTATTTTGTAATAAATGCAAATATCTCTCGGCATTTAAGTTACCATCAATAAAAAAGGGACCCACAATATTATCGCCTAAAATGCCAGCCCAAACATTTACCTATTGAGGGTACTGCGTTCTTAATGGTATACTTAAATACTTGTTTTCCCGGGACCAATATTGGACCACTGAAGAATTATGTCGGCCAAGTAGGGGAAAATATGATTCGTCTGTAAATAAAATCTGCCAGGCAAATTCATTATTTTCATCTATTTTTTCCCTAATGGATTCACAAAACTCCTTACGCCTTATTTGATCACCAGAAATAATTTATTGAGAAGTTTGCATTTTATAGGCATTGTAACCATTCTTTCTTAAGATGCGACGAACTGTACGACTTGGAATGTCAAGTTCTTCGGAAATTTGGGAGGAAGAACACGGCTGATTTACTTCCACAAATGCACAGACAATAACCTCTTTTTCTCTGCTTGCTTCAGGAATTTGACGAGGTTCCTGATTGCTAAATTTCATACGCCGTATGACACATCCACACTCCTCAAACTTATAAAAAGTAGTTCTAGCAGTGGGGACTGGTTCGTCGGGATATGAAAATATAAATCGACCAACGACTTCCTCTGCACTTTCTGCACGACAATACCATTTAATAATATTAATTTTTTGTTCGACACTGTACACCATTTTTATTTTATAATATTCCATCTAGTTCTTACCAAAAGTTTGAGTGGAATAATAATAAAAATAAACAAACAGCAAAGCGCTTTAGGTATTCGGTCGGTTCACAACAAATGCAACGGGGCACGGGCGCTCCCAAAGCCAACCAATTACGAGAGTCCGAGTCGCAGCATCGATGATATATGTCATGTCCGACCGCTTCTACTCGAAGTTAATAGGGGAGATGCGTGTAATTTACTTAGTCTATGCGAAAGAATTATCTGGCTAGACCGGTATAAAAAAGATGCCGATTTGGAAGCCATTTGGATGTCTATCTACTGACAAGTTTTGAGTAGTGGCGGCTGGTGCAGGGTAGAAATGTCGATAATAAAAAAAATTTAATTTAAAATTTAGTTTACAACTTTATCTACATAATTAAACAGATTAACCTTATGACACACATTAAAAACACATTGCAGAACTCTGAATACGTGGGCTCCTCGTAGCTCGCCTCTACATCTGTAAAGTGTTTACAGTGGTGGTCATGGTTATCTCACGCAGGAAAGATGGAGTGGGAGTAATGCATATTTACTATGCAGTTTGGGCTGTGTTTAGTTCGACCGTAATGAAATAATAGCTATTCACCGCTTTCTTTTCTTAATAAACCTAATTTATTCAGGTGTGGTGCAAAATTTTATTACTTACATATTGTTTCTCGTGTGTTTTTTTCAAATTGCAAAAGTTTAAATTGATTGTAACACGTGCAAAAATCAATGGTGCGAGAAATACCAAACTTTGATGAAAAAGTAATTGAAAAGTTTATTTCGGACAAAACAGAAGAATGGACTTCCACTATAAAAAAATAATGTTGAACACATTTTCCCTATATTTCAATAGTACTTAAAATAAAACTACCCAATTGTATTTGATTTTTTTTTTCAATATTTTGTACGCCACTGGCTTTGAGTATTGTTAAAATCTCGCCCAGCGTTGAATTAATAAACAACTAGAACTAGATCATTCGTCAGTAGACTCACCAGACGTTTTTGCTCGTAAATCGATCATGATACAAGAAAAAAAATAAGGGGTAG